AGCATATTTACAACTGAAGAACATCTGGAACTCAAAGCAACTGTCAACTAACACCAAGATCAGGATTTTCAATACAAATGTCAATACAGTTCTACGAAAGCCATGATCCCGAAGATACAGGTGTTCATTAACCGTTGTCTACGCAAGGTACGTCGGATCCGTTGGCCGGACACTTAGCAACAACCAACTGTGGGAAAGAATAAACCAGATCCCAGCGGAGGAAGAAATTAGGAAGAAGCGCTGGAAGTGGATAGGATACACATTGAGGAAAGCACCCAATTGCGTCACAAGACAAGCCCTAACATGGAATCCTCAAGGCCAAAGGAAAAGAGGAAGACCAAAAAACACATTACGCCGGGAAATGGAGATAGAAATGAGAAAAATGAACAAGAATTGGATGGAACTAGAAAAGAAGGCCCAGGACAGAGTGGGTTGGAAAATGCTGGTCGGCGGCCTATGCTCCATTGGGAGTAACAGGCGTAAGTAAGTAAGTAAGTACGTACCAGGTAGCAAAGTAAGTCTATCTTAACCTTTATAATCAGTAATTTTTTTGTATTAGAACGGTATATTTGTGTCTATACCAACTGTTGGTTGGTAGTTTGTGTCCATCTATTTACTTTGTTTTTATGCTAAGGTATAAGTAAGTTTCCCTCAAGATTCTTTCGTCTTGTTTTCTGTATGTGTATTTTCTACCTAAAGGCGATATATTGTTTATAAGATAATATTCAAGTGTATTAGTAGGTAGAAACGTTTTTGGGTTTGATCAGCACTTGATAATTGTTGAACTATTTAATTATGTATGTTTAGTTGTTGGCAATAGTCCAATCTCCAATCATATACTGCACAACGTTGTGGTTTCGTTTGTATCCTCTCTGGTCAAACATTTCCGTATACGCCTGTTTACATAATTTGTATTAATGTGGTCTTCATGAACACATAGAATTTCTTTCGTTCCAGAAACAATGTTCTCCATCGGGATTTAAAAGCTGCGAACATTTTGATTGATAAAAACGGCATTCTTAAAATAGCAGATTTTGGTCTGGCTCGAACAACTGTTGCCTCTCTTCGTCCTGATCGCCCAACACGTTATACTGGACGAGTTGTTACTTTGTGGTATCGACCTCCTGAAATTCTCCTAAATGACCGCCATTATGGAAAGCCTGTAGATATGTGGGGTGCTGGTTGTATTATGGCTGAATTATGGACAAAGTATCCTATTATGCAGGTAACTTGAATTATGTCAAATGAATAATGCAATTTTCTCGTTTGATTCCATACAATACAAATAATACTCGTTGAACTATTTTAGTAAATAAAACCCCAGTTTTCGTATTCGTAAAATATGTCGTAATTGATAGTCATTGCAAGTAACATAATGTACTATGACTTCCATTTCGTACGAAACGACACTAACAATCTATCACTTAATTATTTTACTTTAGGAAAACCAACTTATCTATTATCTGAGTCATAAATGTTTCTAGTGTAAGCGAATTGTCTTTCACATAGATGTTCAAATTTAATTATGTGTCGCTCACTTCAGCTTGTGAAGGTGACGTCCCTATACAGCTTGGTCATATCTTCACGATAATAAGCTTCGAGAAGTGATTGTCAGTCATAATACTGTAGATCTGTTTAACAAAAATCATCAATGTAATTTATTAGGTAATCAGAAAATAATTAAATTCAAGTGATTAGGAGTTGGGTTAATACTTAAATTGTATTAAGATTTCGCAGATCTACGATTTGGTTGAGGGATTCAACGGTTGTTCAGTAAGTTACGGGTTCAAAACCAACTCTCAAAACTACTTCAGTTTGAGCATTCGGTTAGTATCATTGGCCCTCACACAAAACGCATGACTCAAGTTCGAACGCACAAATTTGTGCTTGATAAGTAAGTTATGATTTCTAAAGTTCTCCTTAAAGATGGATTTTTTGTCTGTTTCCTAAGTCGCGCTAAAATGACACTTCATCAATAAAGTTCGTCAAACAGGAGAAGTAACAAAATCGAGAACTTCATTTTATACAAAATAATCGAGGTGAAAGTGATAATAATAGTGGACACCAGCAGTTTACATTTTTTCTTACTTCATTGTTAATACAATAATTATCGGCTTAGGTTTTATTTTGTGTTGATCGTCCTACGAAAAGGTCCCACTGGAAATTTTCTGATTTCACGGATAACATCGCGTTAAGATTGGATATTGGGAAGGTTTGGATGAAGTTAACAATACAAACTTGGAAGTAATCTTATATGACTCAAGGGTGAACATAAAGTATGTAATGGAATAGTTTAACAATTAAATGAATCTTATTAGTTTTATTTGAAAAACCATCAGTAACGCGACTCTTGGAAAGACGGAGGTAATGAATGCAACATTTATAATTCTAGTGAAGATTTAGGAATTTTTTCGGAGTCGATAGGTTGTATTGTGAGCATTTATTAAAATCGCCTCCAGATTTTTCTTCAGTCTTTGAAGTCTATCTGCATACTTTAGATCCGTGCAACAAGTATTAAGTCGACAAGGTTTTAATAACAAGTATTTTTGATGTATTTGGTTGGAACATAAAGTATAGTAAAACGACTGTGTAAAAGAACAATAATAGAAATCCGTGTGTAATTTAAAATAAACGAATCAATCGTGTAAATCCATACTTTGGTAGACTGACTCATTTCAATGATAGATGAACTAATGTACTTAGATCACAGTTACTTAAGTGATACATACATCGAAATCAGTCATCAACCATCTAGTGCAGTTTTAGATAAACTGTTAGTTTCCCTTCCTACCTTCATTTCTTCTAAATAAAGCTACGGCCGAGAGTGGGGAGAGACCGCTCTCCCTCTCGAAATGCTCTCACATGGCCACGCGTACATAGCCTCTTCCGGGGAAGTCCTACTCACTGCCTTCTCGTGGCGGAAGTTTTGTTTGCGAAAATGAGAGGACGAAAAGCGAATGTCCGGCGCTTTAACCGGATTCCAAACCAGTGGTGCACATGGGCTCCAGTATCCTGCGGGAACAAATGGCGTATGAACCACTCGTTGGTCACCGGCTTCCATGGGAAGGCATCTCCTTACAATGCTCCACTACCTTGTGGATCAGACCTTCAGTTCGAAGGCTCGGGGTGTGGTCCCCTAAGAAAACCACCTGCTTCGGTTCGGCCACCCGGGCAGTATCACAGCACTCACACATATCGAATGAGATTTGTGTGGTGCATATGTATTTGGTGCCTCTTTGTACCAATAAATAAATGATTATTTCTACTGTATGACTGGTAATTCTTTTGGTCCAGTTAATATAAAGAATCGTATTGGCAAAAGGTCTCTGCATTTCTTCTCAGTCACATTTGTTGATATTGCATTTTTCTAGGGGGACAACGAAATTAGTCAGTTGAACCTTATCATTAATCTCTGCGGATCTATAACACCTGAAATATGGCCAGGTGTAGAACGTTTGGAAACATTTAGAGAAGCTCGTCTACCTCAGGACATTAAACGACATGTTCGAGAGAAATTGACCCCCAAAATTTCTTCGCTTGCTGCTGTAGATCTCATTGACCAATTACTTGTCTTAGATCCCAGCAAACGTCTTGATGCTGAGCAGGCGCTTTCACATGACTACTTTTATGAAGATCCTCCAGTAGGTGACTTGCGATCTTTTTCCAAATCCGGGACATCTTATCTGGAATTCTTGTCGTCAAATAACGCTCGTGGTCGTATGTTACAAGGAGCAAATCGTCCAGGAATCGTACGTGGTCCAGTTGTCGGGCCTGGGCAGCAAATGAATTATCTTAATGGGCCTGGCATCATGCATCCTAATCGTCGTCCACCTATACCAGATGACAATTCGTATTATGAGCGTGTTTTTTAGTTTGGTGTGCTTGTCTGCAATACTTTTTGAAACATTTCTTTCAAAACTCATATGTAAATAATTCACTTTGATCTTTAATCTTATTTTCCGTCTTTTTTGTCAAAGTTTACTTTGGGATTGACTCCGTTTTTCATCTTTCCACGTCATGCAATCTGAATACCATAAACACTTGGTGTTTATACCTCTATTTCTATGTATTCATTCTTTTTTGCGCAATAATGTTTGCAACTTATTGCATGTGACAGATGTATTTAATATACGCTATAGAAATATTGGGATTCTATCTGCTTACTTCGACTACTAGTTACTTGTGCAAACTAGTGTCCTATTGCAGCAAAGAATATTACTTCTGCGAACGCTCGCTGATTTTTTAATCGTAAGGTCTGGATTAAACATGTTTATACTTCAACAGGCTACATGCTACCAAAAAGACTTTGCCATATGGTGATTACGGCCATCGAATTCAGACCAAGTTAATGATCTGATCCCAACAAGTTACTTATTTCCAACATGTTTTAAATTGGTTACTCAATATCATTAATTATAGGTCTACTATTTAAGCAACTGGTTGTTACGTCTGGAGTTAAGCCTAATTAATTAACTGGCTATATGGTACTTTCCTAATTTGTAAGTAAATTCAACAAAATTCGGAAGAACCTTGATCATATATCGGACCAACTGCAATATTTGCTTCGGTTCTGAGCAAGTTGTTTCTTAGTAAATTATCCAGCGCATAATAATAGAGACCCCTAATCCGATTTCGGAGTGACTTTCAGTTGAATGACTCAGACCATGGATGCTTTTGTATGTTATGTATATACTGACTACGTATAGCAATAAGGTGGCCTGACAATCAGAATGAATGACATCTTGAAACTATCAAGCAGTATTGTATGTTCAAAACATTTCCTGACTGTATGTATAAATTACATTTCAATACGAATAATAACGTTAAACCGCGTCATTTGCACTATCTACCAATTGAGTATAACTATTCAGCAAAAATATTAGCTTCATTTTTCCATTATTCTTATAACCCTGAATTAAAGCTAATTTACATAAAACAGCCATTATGAGTGTATAAACTGCCTGTTTAAAAATAATAGTAAATAATTGCATCAAAGTTGGTTTTTACGATTTACAATGCAATAAATCACTATCCACTGGCTTTTTGATAGTATTAGTTCTATTTTAATCCCATATGTGGTTAAATACTTCCACTGTACTAACATTAATACTTTCAATTCATCATCAATATAAATATACTTAATATTTAAAAAAAGAATTGTACTTTTGAACGTGATAGATATCTACGTCATAGTTTGACTGCAATCAATTGGCATCTATTAGCATAAGTTCATTCAAACGTGATTATCCAAACATTCTTTGGTTGCGAGCTTACTGGATAATGATTGGATGCTCAAAGCATTAGGTATTGAGTTTCAGCCTCATTTCGAACATTAATACTGAGATTTAGGTACATCAGCGTCAGTCAGTTGGTCATAACGCAGAATCTGTTACGTATGTACATCGGTTCAACTTGCAACACTCCATTAACACTAAGTGATGAAATTGCCAGACCAAAACCCGGAACTGTAGTGTTAGTGAAGTAACAAAGCGTTACGAGGAATTGAGAATTCGGGGGAAGACAAATAATCGATGCACCTGCGCCATTGCAAACGATTTTAAGCCATACCATTCAAAGTCTCTAACAATTGGTTACAATAATCACATGGACCCATTCAAGTAGTCTACACCTATTAACATGGCTCAGTCTAGTTTTAAATGACTTCGTGGATTGATGCCATATTTTGGTTTGGCTGCCCGTACCTTTCCTTCAACACACTACACCACACAACATCTCCCGTCAAGGTAGGCAGTGGTTAGACATAACTCACATGTCGCAACCACTTTCGTTGATGCAGATTTATTACCTCATCAGCCGGTTTGCCATACTCACCTAGTACCTTATTCCTGACCCAAGCATTTCTTACTCGGCAGTCTCAAAATATACGAGCGAAACCTAGAAGACATCCTTGACCGGATACTAGTGACCTGTGGGTATCTTCTCTTTTTAATGGCCACGTTTCATAGCCATAAGTTAGAACGGAGCGAACTGATGGGCATTAAACTCATCCTTTGGTTAAAAGACGGATATCTCGCCTAAAACGCAGGTTGGCAAAAGTCAGTCGAACCCTCTGAATCCGTGCCGAGATTTCGTTAAACATCAAGACTGATGAGACTCCCAAATATAAATGAAGCGGTCGATACTCCACCCTTTACCACTAGTTCAGGCGCTGACACCAACCCTGAAGTAACATTTTACAAATTAGAAAGAGAATCGCACCCTAAACACGTTTGCATTGTTTTGACGAAACGGAATTCTATCATCTGCGTATTCTGAGTCAGCAAGTGAATTTCCTAGGAAAAGACCAACTCCTGAAGATTCAGACCATGAGCAATGTCTTTAAAAGGGTGTCTATAACGAAGTGGACTGGCCCGACGATGACCATAACCTGACCGTTTGAGTAGTCAGTCATTCAGCTATAACGTAGGACCAGGCACATATATGTATCGGTTCAATTTGCCATACCGCATTAGCACAGCAAGATGAACACCGGATTCATAGAAGTAGTTAATTCAATGGTGGTAATATATAAAAGAAATGTTGCATATAAGGATATAGTACATAAAGCAAAATAGTTTAAGGGAAGCCAAATAGTGCATGTACCGACGCAATTGTGATCGATTCTGAGCCACGTCACCAAGAGTCTCCAACCATTGGTTACGTTAGTCATGCGGACCCCAACCAAGTAGCCTGCATCTACCAACATGGCTCAGACCAGAAGTTAGTGACTCCAAGCACTGATGCCAGGTTTTGGTTTGACCACTCCTAACTTTCTTCCAACCATCCCCAACACCAGCCAGCATCGCGCGTCGTGTAGAGGGCCTGTACAGAGTCATTGTACTTCTTTGTGATGCCTTTCAATGAGACTGCCAAAGAATCTTACAATCAACAAAGTTGTATGCTGCTACAGCTATAGTCGGACGTCGAGAAACATGTCTATGTTCTGGAACCTGTCGAAGGGTGAATATTGGTCTATGCATTCACGTTGAGGTCTGAAACCAGACTAATTTCCTCGTTTTTTTCACGAGCTCATGATGTTGAAGTATTATTGAGGCTAATATTTTAGTCACTACATTAGTTAAACTGATTCCTCTGTGATTATCAAAAGGGAACTTTTGTCCTTGCTTAATGACTGAGAAGACCAGTCATATGACATGACGTCCAGTCCCCAGATTTGAGCTAAAATTGCAGTTGGCTGCAGAGTGTTCGGAAACAGACGAGGTGGGTTTACGAGCATCCATCAATTTCGTAGACGCCGCAGAAATCTGATTTCTCCCAATTTGTTGATATAAGTTACTGGTAGATGCCAGTGTTATGGATATTACTCCCACGGTTGACAAATTCCTCCAGTTGTTTCTGAAACATATTCCTAACTTGTTTATTACTAAGTCGAACTTCAAGGGATTTTCTTACTGTAGCTCTTCTACGTCCAGTAAGATGCAGACAAATGTGTCCGGACTAGAGCATGATCCGAGTCCAAACATGTTTTCCAGAATGAACGACAGTCTTCTATTAAGCCTCTCCGACGATGATTAGTGTCAGCGTGATTTATTTGAGTTCGTCAATGAGTCGATTGTGGAGGTCGCCACATCAGACAATGTCTATCCGTATGTTCAAAGTTGGCGTTTTCTAGAAACACATGGTTATCTGAGCATAGTTGCAACAAACGGTCGCCGTTATTTGTTCGCTGAGCCACAACAGCGTATGACCCACTTAAGTATCTTTCTGTTTGGTTTAGTCTGCCAACCTGAGCATTAAAATCACCCACCATTATTACATCAGGGCGTTTAACCTTTCGAGTGAAGTTAAATAGCTCCCCACAAAATTTGTCGTTTATTTCGCCTGAGCCGCACCGGCAAAAAAGGCAACCGAGTGTGTCACTATCTTTTCAAGTTATTAGCCCCGTTTAGTCGAACAGAACCTTACCGTTCCTAAGCCGACTTGGTATAGTAAGACCTGAAGAAACGTTTCAGTCAATATAGCTGGGTTGAGTCATCACGATGGAAAATCTCAACCACTATGGCAGGGTAGTTGCTACGGTTGGGCAGCCTTGTTTTGTATAAACAGAGGTTTCAGCTAGCGACTTGAGAACTCATCATTATTAAGCGACAGGTGAATCATGCAGCAGTTAACTGCGTACCCGAATGCCCTGGTACGGCCGAGAGTGGGGTGAGTCCGCTCTCCCTCTCGAAATACTCTCACACGGCCACGCGTATACAGCCTCTGCCAGGAAAGTCCTACTCATTGCCTTCTCGTGGCGGGGGTGTTGTTTACAAAAATGAGAGGACGAAAAGCGAATGTCCGGCGCTTTAACCAGATCACAAACCAATGGTGCACATGGGCTCCAGTATCCTGCGGGAACAAATGGCGTATGAACCAATCTTTGGTCACCGGCTACCATGGGAGTGCATCTCCTTACGATGCTCCACTGCCTTGTGGGTTAGACCTTTAGGTCAAAGGCTCTGGGAGTGGCCCCCTAAGAAAAACACCTGCTTCGGTTTGGGCACACGGGCAGTATCACAGCCCACACACAAACGATGAACTCTATGTCTTTGGCAACTACTTTTATCGCTCCGAAAAACAAAAACAATCAATCGATTCAAATAATTATCATTACTATTATTATCAGAAGGGGTTTGTGGAGATTTTAGAAATTTTCACAGATTTAAATCATGAGTCAGTTGAAGCTAGGTTTTCAATGGTGGTCTAGCTTCAACTGACTCATGATTTAAATCTGTGAACATTACTATTATTGTCATTATTAATACTATTATTGTCGTTATTATTATTATTATTTCCCACATTATTCACCCTCTTTCATACTTGTACAGCGGCTCGGCTTTGGTGGAAATCCGACTGTATCTAAACGTTCTCGAGTCACTGTCCGGTTGAAAGTTGTATGTTACCATCGAATATGAGTACTGAAGCAGTTTTTCTGAAACCACGTGCGCCATTCAAACTGGCTGCCTTCAACGTTCGCACACTTATGCAGGTTGGTCAACAGATAGGGCTGGCTATGTCTTTGGAAAGTCTTAATATTGATGTTTGTTGTCTATCCGAGACCCGTATTCAAGACTCTAGCGAAGTACTGCAAATTCGCTCTACATCTGTCACTTCAAAAAGCTTGTTTTACGTGCGCTTATCCGGGGAGCCTGCGGCATCTTCGTCTGGTCTTGCAGGCGTTGGTGTCGCACTAAGCGCTCGAGCTGAGGCAGCACTAGTCGATTGGATCCCCATTAACAGTCGGTTATGTGCTGTTAGATTAGAAAGTTCCATCGAAGTGAGAAGAATTCGGCGTGAGAAACGATGTCTTTTCGTTATCTCCGCCTATGCCCCGACAGATTGCAGCCCGGATGCAATCAAGGATGAATTCCACCACCAGTTAGCTGTTCTTCTCCTGAAAGTGCGTTCGACAGATATTGTGGTACTAGCCGGAGACTTGAATGCTCAGGTCGGGCGTCTAGGCACAGAGGAGAGTCGTTTAGGTGGCCGATGGGGACTCGTTGGTCGCAGGTCAGATAACGGGGACCGTCTACTGCAACTATGCACAGACCACAACATGTTTCTGGCTAGCACTAACTTTCGGCACAGTCATCGCCGATGTGCCATCTGGCGTCCTCCCTCTGCATCCCAAGCCTGGACTCAGATTGATCACATCGCGATCAGCTACCGCTGGCGTGGTTGTGTAAAAGACTGCCGCTCCTTTTGGAGTACCTATATGGACTCTGACCATGCCTTGGTCTGCGCCAATTTTGCCTTACTTTTCAGTGGCCAACGAAGTGATCGCCACCAACAGGTTGATGTTAGCAAGCTGGTTGCAACTTCTGTTGCAAATAAGTATCGAACCGAGCTAGCCTCTAGGCTAGCTACCACTCCACCGAAAAGTATAGATGAGCATTGGTTGCAATTGCATGACGCCATGAAAATGGCGGGAACAGTCAGTTGTGGGTTTGCGAAACGTCCCGCTTTTAAGCACTGGGTTTCTTCTGGTTCCTTACAATTCATTGAAGCCCGTCGGTCTACTCCGGGTGACCGTGAGTTTGACCATAAACGAAGGATGTTATGTAAGGAAATCGGGCAAAGCTTGCGTAAGGACCGAGAAGCCTGGTGGTCGAAGCGTGCTAATGAGCTGGAAGCAGCAGCTGCATCTGGTAATTACCGGAAGCTCTTCCAGCTCATCCGAGCCACTGGCAGCAAGAAGTCTGGTGTGAGTGAAACAATCTGCGAGGATGATGGGATGCCAATCACTAACATCCATTGATATCTTGGACGATGGGCAGAATTTTTCGAAGGGCAGTTCAACTGGCCTGCTGCCCCGGCAACATCGGTCAGACTGTCCTGCCCTCCATGGACGGTGACGACTGATCCACCAAACGAGGAGGAAGTCCGCAAGGAACTCCAACTCTTGAAGCGATACAAATCACCTGGCCCAGATGACTTACCTCCGGCTCCTTTTAAAGATGGTGGTGACTTTTTGACTAAGGAATTGACGACGTTGTTCACAAAGGTTTGGGAACTAGAGAGTGTGCCAACGTCATGGAATGAGTCGATAGTTGTCCCTATCTTTAAAAAGGGTTCACGTCGTTCCTGTAACAACTATCGGGGGATAAGTCTACTTCCGATTGCGTCCAAGCTATTGGCTTCCGTCATACTTCGTAGGTTGTTCAAAACCCGAGAAAGATTGACTCGCGAGGAGCAGGCTGGGTTTCGTTCTGGTCGAGGATGTATTGATCATATCTTCACCCTCCGCCAAATGTTAGAACACCGTCATACTTATCAAAGGCCAACAATCGTAGTGTTTCTTGACATCACGGCTGCCTTCGATTCGTTGGATAGGACTGTTCTCTGGGATTGTCTATTGAAGTAGGGTGTGCCTGAGAAGTTTATTAACATCCTAAAAGTCCTGTATAAAAACACCTCAGACAGAGTGAGGGCATACAACCACCTTTCTCCATTGTTTCATTCGAGCAGTGGGGTTAGGCAGGTTTGCCCAATCTCACCATTCCTCTTCAACTTTGCCATCGATGACATTCTGGAAACAGCTCTGATGAATGTAAGTAATGGTGGTGTGGATCTGTTGCCTGGAGAAAGACTTCTCGACCTTGAGTATGCGGACGATATTGTCTTACTGTGCGATAATGCCCAAGCCATGCAATCCGCACTTAATCAGTTGGCAATCAGTGTCCGTAGGTATGGTATGTGCTTTGCACCTTCGAAGTGCAAAGTACTTCTACAAGACTGGCAGGATTCCAATCCTGTATTTACCCTGGATGGTGAGCAGATAGACGTAGTCGAGAAGTTTGTGTATCTGGGTAGCTGTATAAGTGCTGGTGGGGGTGTGAGTGATGAGATCAGTGCACGAATAGTGAAAGCCAGAGCGGCTTATGCCAATCTGGGCCATCTATGGCGCCTTCGTGATGTTAGTCTGGCTGTAAAAGGTCGGATCTACAACGCGTCGGTGAGAGCAGTTTTGCTCTATGCTTGTGAAACCTGGTCTCTCCGAGTTGAGGACGTTAGACGACTCTCTGTGTTCGATCATCGCTGTCTCCGAAGGATTGCTGACATTCAGTGGCAACACCATGTCAGTAATGCAGAGGTTCGGCATCGTGTGTTCGGGCACAGAGATGATAATTCAATTGGTGTCACCATCTTGAAACACCGACTTCGGTGGCTTGGACATGTTCTCCGAATGTCGTCCCAGAGAATTCCACGTCGTGCATTATTTGCCGACTCTGGGACTGGTTGGAAGAAGCGGAGAGGTGGTCAGTGCATGACATGGTGTCGTGGCATGAAAGAAAGCTGCAAAGGACTGGCGTATGTTGGTTCTTCACGACTCCCTGGTTGGGGTCTGAGAGATGGTGCTACACAGTGGCTAGAGACGTTATCAGATATGGCTCAGAATAGAAGCCAGTGGCGATCCTGCTGTAACCTTCTTTTACTTTCTTCATAAAAAGTGGTAGTGTCTCCCTTACCTGAAAGATTTCTTCCGATTGTACCTTTGCGTTCCCTGATTACTAGCACATTACCTTACACCAATCTCTTCGTTATTGTTCTCTCTTTTTGTTGTTGCGCTCCTTAGCTTTTTTTTTCTTTTTTTGTATTCCTCTCGAATTTTCATTGTTTTGTGTGGCGCATATATATTGGCGCTCCCCTGTACCAATATTCATGTGTCCAAATAAATAAATAAATAACAGGCGTAAATAAAATCTTGGTACTTAGATTATGTTTGGATGTATATATCTGTTTAGTTTCCTTTACAAATACCTGATTGATTAGGTGTATACATGTCACAAACCCGTCAGTATTTATATATAAGAGAACGAATTATGATGTAAACACACAGGATACATCGATTTGAAATTAAAATTTATAATTTAATTATTAAATTTACAGAGTATGTACATCAGTGATAGATTATCTAGTTTCTTTTTTTTTTGATTATCTGAAATGGGAAGGAAAATACTAGTGAACCAAGTATTAGCTTGAGAAAAGACTTTAACTTATACTAAATATACTTGTTAACAGATGAATTCCATATTTTTTGTAGTAAAGAAAGCAAAGTGAATGAAACAAAACATAAATCTCGGTATTATTATGTTGTATTTGTGTGCGATAAGCTGGTGTTTATACTACTGAAAGTTAGGACGAACGACACTATTTATATACTTACGTTTGGAATCAGCTAAGAGAATAACTCATTTGAGCTTACTACACACAGGAAAACTACCTATACGACAGTGATAAACGACACCTGGTCACGAGTGTTAATCCAGTCAGTTAGTTTATAATGTAAAACCTGGTACATATGTATATTGACTGAAGTTGCCAAATCCCGGAACAGTCGAGGTTATTGAAAAGATTCTGCATCGAAGACAACATAAATAGTAACTCGTTCCTAATGGAAATGTTGAATATGCTGCCGAAATTATCAACAGGAAAATTATGGTTAATGACTGCAAAAATCCCAACGCAATATTGTTTAATGGTTGTGAGATTGCAAACAAGGTTTCTTAGAGAAGACTTGTACCTTCGCCTGTAGCCTCGATGAAGGAGGATTGGGTATGGTATAAGCAACCCTATTCCGCAGAAAACAACTTTTCTACAGAAACGTTTAGTCTACGATGCGTTATTAATACTCCTTGGTTTAGACATCCAACAAAGTATATTGGAAATGCTTTAATTGTTATTGCTTCTGTCATGGTGAGTCTAGATTTATTAGTAGGTTTTTATCAAGTTTAGATTGAGCAACAGTAACTGAATATACGTGACCATCAGTCAGTCAGCTACAACGTAAGACCAGGCACATATATGCATTGGTCCAAGTTGCCATACCTCGTTAACACAAGATGGATACCGGATTCATAAAAGTAGTTAATTCAGAGGTGGTAATATATAAAAGAAAGATTGCATATAAGGATATAGTATACGTGACCATTGTTATATGTAATAACTAATTGGAACAAATAATTGTTATCAAGTGGGATCTTTTTTGTTTGAATATGTGGAATCGATAACAATTATCTCAAGAAACCGTTTATACATTTACAATTTACACATAATTTAATAAAGCATACTCTGGAAATTTGACTGACATTATCGTGACATTCATAGGGCTGTCAAACAATCTACCTTTGTAAGACCATCCTTTTGAATTCTACAACCTGACAATCTTCAACTATACGGAAACTTACTTTTAGCAACTTTGTGTCGGAGATTTTTATAATCGTTGAACGTGATGGTTTTGTTGAAGGTTTCATCAACATATTTAATTATTTCATTTGGTTCTGAACCAACTGTGATCATCGGGGTTAGAACTTGCAACTGGTCTTGGTTGAGCTTTCTCGACCAAGGGTCGTTTGTTAAATATTCCCTGTCGCACGGATGGTTGTGCACTGTTTTAGAAGCCGGTATTATATATCTGTTATGCTCATATCTGATTCTAAACATGGATTTACAGCCAGTGAATTTTGATCTAAAAAGCTATTAGTAAAATAACAGCCAGTTACCCTTTAACTCTTTGCCCAGTACCTTCAGGCTTTCTTTTGTGGCCAAAAGTGCACACATACACAACATAGTGGTAATGGAGTCCAGGCTCTTCTTTATTTAATTTGCTTTCTCTAACTACATAGTGTGTATAGGTCATCTATGTATGTTAGTCAATATTTATGGAACAAACTTTCTGCAAAAGATCTATGGCCTCTTCAACTTGATTCCAGGATGTTAGATGCCAGGGTCTCATTATCCTTTCAAAAAAATCTCTAATGTCCACTGAAAAAGGCTTACTGGGCTGTGCTTGACTTGTAGACGGTAATGGATCAACCATGAGACTATAGAGAACAACAAAAGACAAATCTTCATGTTTTTCTAGGACTTCATAAGTAACACAGTTGAAAAGGATACTCGGAGGCGAGTATGTGGACAACTAACGAACCTTAACTGGTAACACCAGTAATTTAAATTAGAAATAAACGACTCATATTTATGCTAATATTTTTGTGAAAATCTTATATAAATAGATTGATTTTTCTTTGGTAACAGCTGTTTGGTCGTCGTTTAGTCATTCGACTGCATTGGTTATATTCAGTTTGATATATCGAGAAGTAATAACTTTTAATAAAAAAGATGAGCATATTATGACAACAAACGTCATAACAAAACACTGAGTCAAATCTTGGTACGAGAGACAAAAGAAAATGTGGAAAACACTGAACTTAGAAAAACTTTTGTTGATATTTATGAAGTCCTACTCGAATGGTTGTGGACGAGATAGAAGCTTCCACTTAACGAGTTTCTGTATTTAGTAGCAGTGGGTCCCCGATGCCTCCAGTTGAGAACCTAGATATATGTAACAAACAAAAAGGAAATGTCTGTAAATTATAGTGAAATACTATTATCTGTCCTTAAAAATATGTGAAGTTTCCTCTTGGAGGACTCCCGGGATGTGGCTTGGACTACCTCAGCTAGCAGCGAATCCCAAAATTTCACTACTCCTAGAGCAGGTGTCCCTGCAGTCCATTCTGCTATGCTATGGTTCCCAGGAGTAATTGGAATATATATATGTCAGACAGATATAAATCAGTAGGTACATCAGAGACGCATATACTCTAATGGGTAGACATTTAGTGAGTTGAAGCGCTCTTTGTAAGGTTAGAAGTTGAGTTACTGAACTGATTTCTGGGTGCGTTTTTGTATATTTTTACCCCTTTGGAGCGAGGGGAAACTGCTTTCCATACTCTAAATGAAGCCGAATAAAACTTGAAGATTAGGTGGGACATTTTATTGTCAGACTGGCCAAAAAAGGACTTCAACGTAACCAGTGCAAGCTTTGCTCGAAAGGCATTTTTGTCGCAATTAGAGTAAGACTTAAGAAAATAAGATAGCAAGACTATTAGATATTTCCCAACGTTGGACACCTCTACAGGGGAATTGCCTAAGCTGTATGCGAAGTCTGCAACAAGTCTCAAGAGAACCACTTCATACTTTAAAGTGTTGAAAATAAATCCGTTGTTATCCGCTAAACTTTAAAGCTAAGTTAGATCCTCCAGATGTGCCAGCTTATCATCTTAGTTTCGAACTTTTCTCCACAGTTTAACATCATCTGTTTGAAGCAGTAACTCAGACGATACAGAGGAAGTCATGTATATAAAGAGCGAAGTTCTAGTACTAAGCCCTGGGGATACCACTAGGACATTCTGTAGTTTGAGAAAAAGTGAAGTTGACTCTAACCGTAGAAACCTGATTACTTAGATATTATGTGTGAACCAATTTATTGACGACAACTTGATATGTAACACTTTGAGCTTATTGATGAGACATATGATTGGCCCTATCAAATGCCTTTAAGGGATCAAGGTATATGACACCAGTCTTTCTTTCGCAAGCAAAGATGGTTTTCGATCCGTCCTCCGCAGTCAGCATGTTAGTTATGCAGGAGTGACCCTCTCTAAAAGTTTCGTTAGAGTGAAAAGGAGTTTGCGGATAAAAATTAGTCACGTGAACCGTCGTCTATCAAGGACTCCATAACTTCTCAGGGTACTGAGAGAAGTGCTACCGGTCGGTAGCTTGAAGGTTCATAGCACCAACCAACTTTGAAAATTGGTGCGATGTGTGCCAACTTTCAGTTTTTTGAGACCCTGCCTCGGCTTAGCGAATGTGAGAGCATCACGCTAAGCGGTCTTGCTGAGGTTGAAGCCGCTTCTGTCAGCATAGTAGAGTGAAATACACCCGAGCCAGGCAGTGTTCTTGCTTAGATGCTGCAGCTGATACACCAATCCGCCATATGGGACACTTTCGAAACTCCTGTTGAATTGCACGTGAGACTATCGCCAGAGCATTTAGGGAAGTTATCACCATTGGCCGTGGTCTAAGATACTCGTCTTTCTTGGCTAATCGTACTACTTTTCAGGTCAATATGTCCTTAAGCTTTATGAACATCCAATCTTGAATATCGTTAACAGCATTATCATGGCCCATATTTTCTGGGCCACCTTGCACAATAATGTTTCTTCCGCCTAAGAACGCCTCATGAGATTCCTTTGGATGTTCTTAATGAGATAGTGGTATATTTGACAGTATCCTGACATCTTTTGATTACAGCAAGTGACTGGCCAGCAGAACATCCAAGTCAGCAGTGTAACTGAATGTCATATAGAGTCTTGGATGAATTGGGTGTCCTGTCTTTCCCCTGGGTAAGCCTGACAATCACCAGTGGTTCAATTTTGGGAAACCTGTGCTTCCTGTTTAACTTTTCTCAAAACATCCTGCCATTTTCAACCAGGAGAATGGAAGGAAGGTCAGAGCGGTCTTTAGGGTTCATAATTATTAAGGAACAAGCATTGGTAGATTTTAAAAGTCTTCAAGTACGATGAGGCTGGAGTTAGTATTGTTTGAGAGTTCCGGATTTTCGTGCTTTTTGTTAAGTAGCCGGATAATCCTAGGAATAATTGAACACCTGGTTCATTAACTAGTGTTTTACAGGAACTGTGCTGTTGAAAACTTCCGACGGTAGTCGGTAAACCCTGTTGATGAAAGTCCAATCGCCTGCAGTAGAACTTTTTGGAACCACAGTTGGATTTAAAGAAGCTATCCTAAGGGATGCAAACTTAATGAGAGTCTACTACGTTTCAGAATGTCCTTACTAGTTCTGGGGCTTGTTCCATAAATCCTGATGTTGTCGAAGTCCTGCTTATTTACCTCTCTGAGCATCTTTGTTTGTTTTTCAGCTTCAGAACTGCCTCTTTCAGAGTCCCTGGCATTCTTTCGACAAACGTGTCAAGGAAATCCTGACATTGCTCAGCAAATCATCGGTATTCATGTCTCAAGTGCCACATGCCTACTTTAGATCTGGTTTACTGAGATTGCAGTTAGGTTTGTGGACATTTCGTGAAACCAACATTTGTATCCGTCAACTATCTCAGAAAAAGATGGACATATTATTCATTCTCAATCCAGGAGATCAAATCGATGGGCAGAACAGTTTAGGGATCAGTTCAAATGGCCGTCAGCCACACTTCGGTTTCCCACGACCTCCAGTCAACCTGAATGGCAAGTTAATGTAGGTCCTCCTACTCTTTGCAAAGTTGAAAAATCTATAGGAAATGTGAAGCGAGGGAGAGCAGCAGGCCCTGACAGGTTTACTCCTGAGATTTTTCAGGATGGTGGTTCAGTATTAACAGTGAGATTAACTGAGGTCTTAGGTGGAATTTGGGAACTGCACGTAATCCCATCTGATTGGTCTCAATCACTGATTGTCCCAGTCCACAGGAAAGGACAAAAGTCTTCTTGTGACAATCACAGAGGAATCAGTTTGACTAATATAGTGTCTAAAATATTAGCTTCAATAATACTTCGACGCCGAACCAAAGCTCGTGAAGAGCAGACTAGAGAAAATCAGGTTGATTTTCGACCTGGACGTGGTTGTATAGATCAGATATTCACACTACGTCAGTTTCTAGAACACAGACACACATTCGGACGTCCCACAATGGTAGTATTTCTCGGCCTTAAGGCGGCATTCGACTCTGTTGTTCGTAAGGTTCTATGGCAGTGTTTGTCACTGAAAGGAGTACCAAAGAAGTACATTAACCTTATAAAGGCTCTCTACTCGAACACAACTGGTAGAGTGAGAGCTTATGGCGAACTGTCATCAAAATTGATCACCTCAAGTGGTGTTCGTCAGGGCTGTCCACTCTCTCCATTCTTGCTCAACTTTGTCGTCGATGTACTTTGAGAGATAACACTTTCCTCATCTGAATTTACAGGGGTTGAACTTCTACCGGGAGGTTCACTTGTTGACTTAGAATATGCTGATGACATAGTTTTATTTGGTGAAGACGCTGACAAAATGCAGTCTTCTGACCACTCTAAGAAACAATGCAAGCATGTTAGGGATGCGATTATCTCCCTCGAAACGCAAAATGTTGCTTCAGGATTGGGTTGCATTGACACCCGAACTAATGATAGGGAGTAAAGTAGTTGAACGTTTCGACCGCCTGACTTATCTGGGAAGTCTCATCAGCCCTTGTGGTCTGGTGTGACGAAATCTCAGCACGGATACAGAAGGCTCGACTAACGTTTGCCAACTTGCGTCATTTATGGTGTAGGCGAGATATCCGTCTGTCAACCAAAGGACGTGTTTACTGCACAGCAGTTCGTTCCTTCCTACTTTATGGCAGTGAAACATGGCCGGTAAGAGTAGAGGATATCCGTGGGTTACTAGTATTTGATCATAGGTGTCTTCGAAACATTGCTCGTATATCCCGGGACCATCGAGTAAGTAATGCAGTTGTTAGGAAACGGGCACTGGGTAAGGATGGCAAATCAATTGATGACGTAGTGAAACTTCATCAGTTGGGATGGCTGGGACGTGTTACGTATGCCCAACCACCGACTGCCTCGATGTTTTGTTGTATAGCAGTAGATTGGGAGAAAGCTAGGGGTGGCCAGACCAAAACATGGCACAAGTCCATGAAGTCAATGACAAGTGAATTGAGTCATGTTGGTAGGTGTAGACTACCTGGTTGGGGACCACGAGATGATAGCAACCGATGGTAAGAGACCCTGAATGACATGGCTCAAAATGGTTTGCAATGGCGCAGGTGCATCCACTCTTTGTGTTCTCCCAAAATCTAATCTTCTGAATTCTTCATGTCCCGTTCTTTTTTCTCCTTTCAAATTTATTTCACTGGATTATACTTTTTAAATAACATCTTCAAGCCCTAATGTTTCTGATTACTGCTTTTACTTTTACTACATCTACCACTACGGGATTTGAATCGATAATTGTATCTGTGTGCTAATGTGGTATGGCAGCTCGAATTGATG